TTTTTCTTGGTAAGTACATTAAGAATAGCCTCTGTACAATATACTTTTGGGAAAAAAAGGAAAAAAGAGAAGTTAGAGCATCATGAAGAAGTGTTGAAATGAAAAATCCATGAATATCCTGAACAGAATTTTCATTCTTAGGCTCAAAGCTGACCATAGAAAGCACTTCTGTTTATTATTGAAGAAGGAATCTTTTACATTACTAGTTTGTGCATTCCTTGATTAGACTTTTCAGTGTGTTTTTAAACATGACTCCATCACGTGTCAATGTACTCTTTCAATAGACCCTTAGCTCCAGGAGGGGAATATGGGGGAATTAGTGAGAATTTGCAAGAATTTGCCTAAATTATAACCTTTCCTACGTGTCTTGCAAGATACAAAAAAAACCCCAAAAAACCAAAAAAAACCACCAAAAAACTTCATAAGTAGCATTTTGTGACATAGCTAACTGGATATTGATTTTATTTTATTAAATAGAGGAAGGTGATGTCCTGAAAGACAAAACCAGCATAAGAGGAAAAAAATCCTGCCCCAAAACACTTAGACAGCAAATTATTGGAAAAAAACGTAATTATACATTATGAATCTCAGAGAAAAAAATACTTCTAGTCCTCTTTTGACTGAAGTTGTCACTAGTCCAGCAGGAGCAAAACATGCTTTGCAAAGCTAGATCAGCAACAAGACATTCTGTTAGGTGTACTGAGTTTTACTAGTGGAATTATATGATCACATTTGAATTGATCTTTCTTGCTTGAATGCCTCAATTTTATTATGTTTCCCAGAACACAGATGTGTTCATGGTATAGTTGCTCAGTGGGGAAAATCCGAGTTAACTGATTGAAGCATACTTGCAGGTATGGGAATTAAAACTACTTATGTTGGTGTCAGCTTTTTATTTGAGGGGTGAACATAATGGAATCAAACTTCCAGTGTGTGATCTGTAGTCAGCAGGATTCTAACCTGTTCAGCAAGACCTTGGTCAATTTTTAGTTTGCTGTCTCAACCATTCTGCCTCGGCTATGTGACACATTCATGGAAGCTTTGCTGGCTCTGGCTGTGGAAAGTAAGAGGATGGCGTTAATGTCACCATAAGCCACAGATCCTGTGCTGAGGCCACTCCAGCCACTGACTGCTCCGTGCTCAAAAGTCACCATACTGCAGGAAATTGGTTGGAGAGTGTAGCCCAGCATGTTGAGACCTCATGATTTCTAGGATGTCAAGATGACGACCCTTTCAGGCAAAGTTTGTATCACAGAAGGCAGAGCATGTTGATTTTTCCTTCACTTTAAAGAGCAATTAAGTAGCATATGTAGTGTATGCAGTTTTCCTGAGACACTGCTGATTTTTGTAGACAAAATGCACAAAAAATCTTGCCATTTTATGTCTGTAATAATGTATTCTCTAAAGTGTGGGAGGACACACTGCTGAGAAGGTCAGTCGTGATTCATTATACAGACATGGAAACATCTTTTCATCACATTTTTGGCTTGCATCTTTTCAGATACTTAGTTGCCACTTCTCAAGTAAGCAGCAAAATTAGTAGCTGAGCTGTAAATAATGGTAAAACCCCTCTGAAAACACTTTCTCTGCAAAGTGAAGGCATACTTTAAAATTTCAGTGATTTTCCAATGTTTCTTCTTTGGTGCTAAAAGGGAACAAGAAATTCACATCTTCATTCATGTACATACTTTGGTAAAAAACCTAATCCTTCAGCAATAAATATTAAATGCTTTCTTCAAGTTTCCCAGCAACTTTAAGCCCTTTTTGTATTACACCCAAAGCACCTTCTTCAAGCACAGAAAGTCAAGAGCAAATATTTCATATCTATAACAATGATTTAACAGGGAGATTTTCTGGGAAATACTTGAAGATCCATGGCACTGCACAGCCCAATTATAAAATCTCTCCAAGCTGAAAGCACAGCAAGCTCTAAAAGAACCACAGAAGGCTTGGTTGCCCACTTACGTTCACCTACAACCAAGCAGTGGGTGAGAAGAGAAGAAGAATCCAGATCGTTAGCAACCCTCAGAAACCTCGGTTCTCCTGGCTTGGTATCCCTAATGACTTAGATACTGCATATGGAAAATGATTGCAAAATCTATACTGTGGATCGAAGCTCCTTAAGAGCTTCATGCCCATCCTTGTACGGAAGCGTAATTGTCAGTGCTCCGAGCTCCTGTCCTGAGAGTCTAAATTAAGAACAAGCCTCTGGGCTGCTGCTGGGCCTGCAGTAACTTCTCATGCTTTGTCCTCCCTCTGTAACCACCTGACCTGAGCTGCCCTCAGAACACAAATCCACTGTACCATGCTGTCAAAACAAATTACTAAATATCAGGCGGCACCACAGAGGAGACAGAAGCCAGGATCTTAGCAAAAGTAAAAGGTTGCTCTCTCATGCTTGCTGAGGAATTAAGGCAACCTAAATGCTTTGGTGGGAAGGAGACATTTGCCCTTCGCCAAATGCTGCCCTGAGACTTGATCCAGAAAGTAAGCAGGTCTGCCATGAGGAGATGAAGTGAGATGTAAGGATGCTCTGCCCACGGATTTAAGAACACTCAACACACTGCAGCACGTGCAGGCCTTGGAGAAGGGACTCTGAGGGCAGAATTTTCTATTTACATTATTTGTGGAGGATGCTGTGTACAGGTACAAACCAGGGAGAAAATCTGTGTAGGGAGTGAGTGCTTGCTGCCCCATTTCTCCTGTGATCCGTGCTGAAGCACATGGGCAGTACTCAGTGCTTAATGAATGTGGAGCAGAGGACAAGGTCACCCACTGCCTTCACCTGCATCAGTAATGGCACTGGGAGCCACCCTGGGCTCTGGGCATGCTTTTTTTGGGCTTTCCCTATGTCACCTGCTGCCACTGCCCAGACCATGGTGGCAGATGTGGGCACAGCCCTGGCAGCTCCAGTGTCACCTGGAGGAGTCCACTCCCAGGCACCACTGTGGTTCCATACCTGCTTCTGCTCACTGCTCTGTGAGGGAGCTGCTGTGCTGGGGGTGCTTTGATCCCGTGGGTAAACTGACTTTGTGAAAGAACTGTGCCTGGATGCCTTTGGGAGGAGTGGGCGAGAAGATGGGACAGGGCACTGAGACTGCTGTTGGAATAATAAAAGAATAACTGCTGATTAAATCTGGGCTGATAATCCCTAGGGAGCTAATACTGCCTTCAGTAACTGATATGATTTCTTTTTTGCTTTTCACCTGTGAATATCTCCCTCGCCTCCCACATACTACTTGCACCATCAATTTCTTACAACCTGCTTTGCTGCTTTCCTATAGGGGTGCATGCTGGATCTGAATACATTAGTGTTTAATGAGAGACACATTTAAAGCTTACCAGTTAGATTATATCCCAACGTTCTTCTAAGAGAATACACTTCAAATATTTGCAAATCAAAAGTAAGTTAATTTAAAATGCCAGTAAGTTAAGATGACTTTGCTTGCTTGAGCTAATATCTCTATAGCTCATCAGAATTAAACAAAATGTGGATGTGGAGATTTACGTAGAGAGACAGACAGAATAATAAGGAAATTTCATTTCCATTTTTAAGGGTCCTAACTATCCTGACAGTTTAGAGGGAATCAGTTTTCCAATAAAAAATACAAATGAGAAAATTTCTTTAATCAGAACAAAATATGCAAGGCCTTCTCAGAATAGTCCAGACTAACACAGACTTGAGAGTTATGTGCCTATAAATAATAAAACAATGGTTTTTGAAGAGTCTAAGGCTGCTTTACTTGGAAGGGCTGTGATTTCCCCATTACTCACCTATTAGCTTTTGAACTCAGTGCCTCTTCCAAAAGTTGGGGGATTGACAGAGGTCTCAAAACCCTATTTTGCTTTGACATATTTCTTGAAAATTGATGGGGCAATAATGAAGAAATCAGCAGTACTGAGGAGAAGGTTTGTAGTACGGACATGAAATACAAAACTGTAGGGAAAAAAACTACATTAGTCCTACTTCTCATAATGTATGTTTATTTTCATTTACAGTAAACATTGCAAGCTGATACCAAAATCTGTCAGAAGTCCATGCTTTGTTGTTCTGTTAATGGTGACTTGCAATTTATTGTATGCTTTGCCATTATTTTGAAGAGACATTGTTGTTTTATTTTATGTAGAAGTGACCTTACTTACTTGTTTTTGCAATTTGGAGGAACAATTCAAGCACTGTTCTTTGGTCCATTGCATGAGTTTTGTGCCATGATTTTACTGAAGACTGTAACATGTGTTATAAAGACAAGTTGAATATATTTGAAACTGGCATGCCAGGTAAAGTGTGAGGAGAATAGAGGCCTTTTTGAGCTTGGAGGGGAAGCCTGCTGTTTTTGTAATGGAACAATTTGGAAACATTCTTAAAGTGGCCTCCATGCTGGAAATAGACTTTGAATAGAGTAGAGGCAGATGATGAATCAGCCTTCAAATAATGGAAATTATTTGATCCGGGGCGGGGGGGAGTTGAGGGGGAGGAAAAACTGATAGATGCACATCTTCTAGGGCAGATTATAACCTCCCAACCAGGTGCTAAACCCCTTTTCTCTTTTGTGCAGCTGAGAACAGTGTCGTTCTTGTAAATGAATTCTCCTACAATGGCGACTGGTGGATGAGAGTCTGAATTCAGAACACAGGAGGAAAAACAAAGGCACAAAGCCTGTTTAATTAGGATAAAAGATACTCACCCCTGCCAAATCCTCCAATTCCAGTTTAGCAGAGCATAGGGGTTGTTAGGGCTGAAAGGTCTGACTTGCTGACTTAGGTAAACGCAGTGCTCAGCAGATGAAGTCATGCATAATTAATTGTTCTTTGTTGCATTCTTTCCAATGTAATCACTTGTAGCATTCACGCTTATAGTAATTGATGTTTGCTATGTGCTGGAGCTTCTGGACAGCCAATTAAGGTGGTGAAGGTGGGAAGTGCACAGCATCTCTGACATCTGGTTGTTACCAGCATGTGGGCTGTAACTTTTTTGTTTTGTTTTCTTTGCTTGTTTCTAGTGTCTAAAACTGTACCTGGAGCTGGCAATTCAAGAAGGTTGTGGTTCCCCTATCACATGTCCAGACATGGTATGCTTGAACCATGGGATCATACAAGAATCAGAGGTATCTATACTTCTCATACGTCTTCCTTTCTCTCTCTCTCTCTTGCTTTTTTTTTTTTTTGGTAACATATATCCCCCAAATTTCTTTATCTGCATAATAATAAATGTAATAATACAATTTTTCCTCCCTTCAATTACTTTTAATGAGCTTTTGGCAAGAGGCCTGACTGACAAGAGGCCATAGAACAAACAGATGTTTTTTCAAGGGTTTTGCTCCTTTTTCCCCTTCCTCTATTCCTTGGGGGAGAACTTCCCTTGGCATCTGGATAGCCTCTGAATTACCCATGCAGGTGACTTAACCAGAATACCCAGAACTGCTGAGCCTCCATTAGACTGTCACTTCAGTCAGATTTGATTCAACTGAAAACACTGAAATTCTTGCATCTTTCTTAAGAGCAAGAACTCAGACTAATGGCGTGCGAGGCCAGAATTTCTTTGTGTGTGTTGATCTTGGGCTGCAACAACTGATTTGCAGTCCAATCTAATCGTGCAGGGCTGTATAATTATATGGAAAGGTACCTGTACAACGCCAGGTAGAAGTAGGTCTTAAGAGATATGGAAGGTGTCTCTTGGGATACACCCAAGGGATGCTTGCTTGCCTGCTTTGTGAGGCAGGAATGTCCCTGCTGAGCCTGAGAATACAAGTAGGACAAAGAAAAAACCAGCCAAAAACCCCAGGAAAAATAAGATGGCTAAGGTATTTTGACTAGTTTTGTGCATTCTCTCAGCATTTGAGGAATAAAATCAAGGAGAATTAGATCTCTGTTCTTGAACTGAAGAAGAGAAGTTTGTCTTCAGGATTCTCTTGAGCCCTGTGCACACAGATGCCATAACTGTGGCAGAAGGATGTAATCCTATTCAAATGCCATCAGTGACACTGTGATTCCTGATACCAAATTTTACTTTTTCTCCGGAAAAAATTCTGGATCTGCTCTCCAGCATACATTTGAAATGTTATGCTTAGTTGAATTAGGTCATGGGACTTTCAGCTATGTTTGTTATGGCATGCAGGCATATGGGGACCCCTTTTTTTTGGCTGAATCCAGGTATTGTGAAAAGCAGTCAGCTGTTTCCCTTTCTCCTCTTTCTGCAAAGATACAGAGAGGGTGTAGCAATGTCCTTCCACCCATTGCACCAGACTGGAGACATCTAGCCTTTATTGAAAATGTATTTTTAAAGGAAAATTACCAAATGAGAGGAAGAGTTCTGCTTTGTTCAACCAGGGTTATAATGCTGTAGGAATTAAGAAATATGTATTTCCCTTTAGTAAAAGAGACTCCAGGGACATTTAATAATGGACCACTGGCCTAATCTTTGGGTGTTTTTTGGGCTAACAGCAGAATGACTGAACAGCCCAAATGTGCCTTAGTGTCCCATGGATGACTGAATGTTCTGACACTCCCTTTTGGCAATCTGCTTGAAACACAAGCCTTCAGCTTGAATAGCAAACAAATCCCCAACCTGGTTAAAATTACTGCTTATGTGTTTTACCAAATATATATTTTTTTAAGGAAAAGAAAACACCCAGAAAAACAGTAATGATATAAAGAATAGACTGACTCCATTCACAATCTAAAAGAACAGTATGTAAACTACAGATTTATGTATGAACAGTCTCTATTCCTTTTTTCCCTCTCTATAAATAAGGGCTGTTCTTTGTGAAAATGTGGCCTGTTAAAGCTATTTCTGAAAAAGCAGAACCTTATCAGATGATACAGAATGTGCTTAACTAGGGCTATTGTTTGGCATGAAAGTACTATGTAGAGTTACAGTTTATTCCTTATACTCTCAAACTCCTGGTGTAAGACTAGGAGGCTTCTCACCTCTGGAGGGGTCTGGATTTTTTTTCTCTGGCTTCTGGCAGGACAGGGTTCCTCACCAGGACCATGGTGTGAGGAATGACACGTTGCCTGTACTGTAGGGAAAAACAAAAATAAAAGGTCCTTTTTTTCCTCCTCTAAGATGACATCAGCGTTTTGAAAAGGTGTATTTTTCATGTCATATTCATTTCAGACTATGCTGTGACTGCTGTTCATCAGGCACTGTTACAATTTGGAGAAAAAATAACAGTTCAAACTGTCTTTGTCATGGACACATTGCTAAACCGGCTCCTATACTTTGGGCTAAATGCATCTCATTATGTTGGCTAAAGCAATTGTTTTGTTTGCTTTTTTAAATGCCTTTTGCCATAGCCTGCAAAAGGGAGATAAAGGTGAATTTGGGCATAATTTGAAGTGAAGGAAAACCTCTTCATTGGCTTCAGTGCATTTTGGATTGAGCTTTCTTCAATAACGAAACTGAACAATTAATAACAAAGCTTATAAGCATATATAACACAGTGTAGCTATGAACACAGTATAGCTATGAAAGTTCTTCTTCTCCCTCTCAAGGTCCTTATTCAAGCTGAGTAACATTCCTTCAGTGCTTTCAAGTGACCTGTTTGTTTTCATTTAGACAAATCAGAATTAAGTCCTGTTTATTTTCTCAGTAAAATTCTGGTTTGTCTAGTTTGGTCCTAAATTACTAGAGCTTTTTCAAAGCTCTTGCCTTGCTTCTGATTTGTGTTCCTTTCCAGTTGCTTTTGGGGGTTGGAGGGAGGGAAAAACTCTGGTTAACAATTTAAACACAGAATTTTTTCTTGTATGTCTCATGAAGAAATGATCAAGTGTGAATAGTAGAATGTGTTTCTCGAAAACAGTTGAATATTTAATCAGTGCTTGGGGAATAAACTGCTTATTCATAGAGTACAGGAGATGTTGGGAATTAAGGCTTACTTTCTGAGGTCCCTCTGGACCTCAGAAAAAAATGTTCCAGGTTTTTTGTTCTTAAAATGCATAAAGTGAAAAGTCATTTGAACTAGAAAATTGTTCTTTTCAGTGCTTTGAAAATATGTTTTCTGAAACCCCTCTGGCTTGGGTTTCTTTTTCCTTCAACAAAATCTAGTTGAAACTGGTTTATTTCTCAGTAGTTTTTTTTTTGTTTTGTTTTGACAAATAGTGCATTTAAGCAGAAGGAACTGTTCCATGGAAGTGCTTGAAATCAAGTGCAATCCTAGGTCACATCTTGACCTGTTACATCTAGATAGCAGCTGCTTGTACTGTAGCTGTCTTGTAGCAGAAATAAATGAGGGGTGGTCGTGGCAAGGCAGTGGTTTTGGCTACAGAGTCTCTTTCATATAGCTGGTTACACAAAACAGGGGAAGTTCAAAAGCAGTCTTGCTAAACAAAATGTTTGCCCTTTCAAGCTCCAGTGGCACAATAAACAAAGACTACTTGGATTCCTTCCTGGAAGCAGAAGGTAGAAGGAACATCTTATGTTAATACAATTCTCTTTAAATACGCAGACTTCTTCTGTCTAGAATATTCCTGTCTCTCTTGGGAACATGCTCCATTGATTTAATTGGACCAGTTAATATCCCTAATCTAAATAAGGGGTAATTTATCATGGTTTGAAATTATTGTGCTTGGTGTGAATGCAGTCACCAGTGTAAACTATGAATCAGGGTAAATCTCCACTGCATACAGGGATTTCTACTGTAATACTTGGATAATATCTAGGGCATTGTGCTTTGCTGTTTCTGATTCCTGTATTGTTCTGGGGTTTATAACATCTATGCAGTGATCCATGTATACATAATCTGATTTGGATTAAAACTGTGCAGCAGTCGGTAAAGGAGGCACTGATTTGGGTTCTTAAGTTTGTCCAGAATTACCCCTTTGCACGCAGCACAGATCCTGCTCCTTGTCCCTCTGTCTGTCTAAATCCGTGATCCACACCAGTGCTGACCTGACAGAGGTTTGTCAGCACTTTGTAATGCAATGCTGAAATAGGACAGCAACCCAGATCTTAGAATTCTTAATTGCATTATATTCCATACCTAGCCAAATACAAAATCCCACTGGGACTCAGTCTAAAATATCAGATTTATTTTTAATTTCAAAATTGGTTTATGTTTTGCTGCAGAAGAGACTGAAATGGTAAAATGAGAAGGAATGTGAGAAAATGTTGCAGGCTGACCTATCTTTTTCAGGGTCAAAATAAAAATTTTTGTTCTTATTTACTTGTTTTTAAATAAAACCTAGGGGAGCAAGTGAGAGAGCCTTAATTTTGTTTTTATTTGTCTCTAAATAAGAGAAGAGCTCTTTAATGGAGAACATGAATAATTTAGTATTTCATTATGACTCTAGTGAGCATGGTAGCTTGACAAAGAAAGTTGTGGGTGTAATTTCTAGCAACACAGAGACTGAGCTCCCATATCCCTTTCAAAACCAAACCAGAGACCCTGTTAGAACCGTTTTACTGCTTGCACAAGAAGACAGTGCCTCTGTGAGTGGGGCTTTGGCAGAGGTGGGCAATGCCACCCTTTGTAAATTCTTCTGCCGGTGTAGGATCTGCCCTTGCTGCCTGTCTGCTGAAGTGAGAAAGGGAGCAGCTTTTGTCCTGCTGAACTTCCCTCCCTTGGCATTATCAAAGTTTGATTCATATGGGTGTGAAAGGAAGTAAGATCTATTCAATTTGCTTGATTGCCTCTTTGCATGTCCCTTGAAAGTCTGAGAATAGGTGGAGTAGTGATTTTCCCTTTCCACTGTGGTAGCCAGTATTTAAAAACAGGGGAGTTGTTCTTCCTTGGGTCCTGGTTACTGCACTGCCTGGAAAAGTTTGTTGCTGTGTACACTGAACCAAATTATTTTGAACCCTTTGCTTTCTTTGCTCTTTTGTCTCATGTATTAGCAGGGACCCTGGTTATTGTGACACATTTCATGATATGATCTTTTTGGATGCTTGACAAGGATCCAGTTGGAGCCCTTTGTGGTAGTAAGCCTTTAGAATTTTACTTCTGTAAATCAATATTTATCCTTCAGGTGAATGCTGCTGTTCTTAGCAATAGCTCTTATGTGTTCTTGTGCTGTGTAGCAGGAGGGTTTTAACTGCAGATATTGCTTACAGGTTATGGAAGATCAGAAAACTTATTTCAACTCCTTACAGCCTGATAAGTCTCAGATCAAGATATTTTCAGGAGAGGAGCGTTCTTGCCTGTATTTTTTTAATTAAAACCCTCAGTATTAAAACTAAAAATACAAGTTCACCAAACTGTCATCTAGCATTTCTTCCTACACTGAATAATTTCATGACATAGAATAAGAAAAGCCTGCTTTGTGGTATTCTCATGGTCTTCCTCTTTTGGCTCTTTGCTGTCTGCTGGATTGCTGGTTTGCTGCCTCCCCAGATTTCCATGCCCTGACCAGCCCAGAGACATGAGTGATTGCACTCATGAGAGAAGAGGTGTTTGGGGTGGACAGACACCCAGATGGGGCTTGAGAAGTTTTTTGGAAATGAACATTTAGACCAGTGCCAAGTAGGAGGCGATAAACACCTAATCCCCTTAATGTATTTACTGCTGTCCTTCTCAATTAGGTGTAAATGAGATTAAAAGTTCCCTGAGGAAAGGATTTGCTGTTTTTTATAGGGACCTGATATTCATGTTTGTTTGGTTTTTTCCTCAATTAAGTTTGCACATACAGCTTTCACATGGCACTGAATTCAGGCAGCAGGAATTTGTGCATTATTATCCTCATGCCTGAAGAGACTGAATCTGTGAGAGGCTTGGGCTCAGCACCTCTCAGGCTGACCTGTGTGTAGGTGCCATCAGGACCTGGTCTTTCCAAGCTTATGGGAGTCAGTGGCACAGGTGATGGGCTGCACGCAGGGAGGGAGAAGCTGAGCTGTGAAGAGGATACGTAAGAAAAAGAGTGGAGCTGAGTGAAGCCAGTGGGGAAAGCTGGCATGGTATGCTCAAGTTTTCCCCAGGAGAATGGGAAGTGTTCAGCACTGCCTCTGCTTCCTATTGAAATCTGTGTTAAGATGCATAACTCTGCTCCCACTGTAATCAAAAAGGCTGATTTTTAATACATGGGAAATTCTGGGCTCAATAGAACTGCTCTTGAAAAAACTGTATGTTAGAAGTAAAAGCAAGTACAGAAGAACCCCAGCCAACTAAACAATCCACTCAAGTGGCTCTTACAGCATTGAGACTCACTGTTTTAATTTAGTTGTAATGAAGGAAAATTTAAAGTTGTTGCCAGTGCTCATTCAGCTAGAGAAATGCAGATGACTCTTTTCATTTTCCAAACTATTTATATGTGAAGCTGCCCTGGGGAGGAGTGGGCAAAACTGAAATGTCATTGCTGAAATTGCTAAACTCTTTTGGCCCATTTGATTTTTTTTTTTTGGTGTGTTTTCCAAGAGTATTTCAGCTGACTTCTGATGAACAGGTGAAGAGTTTCCCAGAAAAATCTCTGTGTCTTACAGTCATATTAATCTTAAATATTAATTAATTACAACCATGTGAATCTTTAAATTATTAAGTCTTGACATAATTTGGATTAATTTTTGTATTGGCTTCAGTTAAATAAATGAGCCAAGTATCTGCTACAAAATACAGTTGTGTACAATCAAGTCCAATTGATTTGAGATATAAATAAAGCAATTTCATATTTTATAATACTTCTTTTTCCATCTGTGAAAGAAAACTTATTCACAGCATGATATTGAATATATATTGGGTTTTTGTCATCATATCTCTTCTCATGGGTGCTAAACCCTACAACTGAGAAGGACATCAAGGGCCAGTGTCTACTTCACTGAGGGCAAATTTTGCCCTTTACAATAATCTGAAGGACTGTGGTTGGATACTGGATGTGAGATTTGGAAGCCTGTCACTTTGAAGCTGTCAGTTGTACACTGTCTCACAGTGCTTCGAATGATCAGGTCTTACATTAGTCTAGGTTTATTTTCAGTAAAAGACAAAACTATTTCCAGTGCTAGTACAATATTACTAATGGATCAGATAAAGAGCATAGTCCCACATTCTGAATCTGACAAACACGTGACTCCTGAAGTGCCTGTGAAGTTCCTTTTAAACCCCTCCATACCCTGTATGCAGGTTTGCGTATTAGTTTTAAATAGGGCACTTGGTCTTCTTACGTAGACTGTTAATTGGAGATTAGAGTATTTAGCCTTTTAGGCTGCTGGTTTAATTACGGTAATGTGTAAAATGTATCAGCAAAGCCTGTTTGTCTGTGCCAACTAAACTTGTTAACTTCAGTCGGGTTCCCAATAGGCTGCTCCGTGTCTAAGGCAAATTCCAACAGCAACGGCATTAGCTGTCTTGGCCCAAACCCCATGAAATGAATAAAAAATGGAAACCAGACTGGCTTTCAGTTCCTGAGAGCTAAGTGGCCCTGCCATTAACACTGGGAGACATGAATGAAGAACCATTCATTTTAGCTGTATTCTTGTACATGAGCATGCTGCAGTCTCCAGGGCTGGCAACCTGTCACCCTTTGGTACACTAAACCAACATGAAATAAAATTGGGAAGCCTGAAGTAAATATGGAATCCACAGAGAAGGTTTTAGTGTGCGTGGAAAGACAGACATGGGCTGAACTACTGGGTTGTGTGGCTGAAATAGGGGAGGTTAAGAACTACTTTTTTAAGTTTTGGAGAAGAAGTCAGGGTGTGGAAGAATATGGTGCTGAAAGCAAGCTGGAACAAACAGATCAGAAAAGCAGGTGTGTAGAACAGAGTACTTACTAACTTTTTAAAGTTTGTATTTCTAATGCTTATTTTGTGTATTTCTCATTTCAGATTGCCTCTTTGGTTCCTGTTGACCAGTTTGAGTTATACAAGAGGTTGAAGTTTGAACGAGGTGTGAAGCTTTTTGTCTCTATTACTTTCTCTTTTGTCAGTGGAGGCAGCACTGTTATATGTGGCAGAGATGGAGCCTGTTAAGTGAGTTAAGGAACAGAGAAGATGTCTTTGCTTTGAAATAGTTCAAGAGCAGTCACTAGGTCTGACTGTGCTCCACAGACAGAAATTCTGTTCGAAATTCTGTTTTGCAGAATCAAAAAAGCAGCATCTTAATGAATTACCAGACTTCTACTCAAGCTTGTGGGCAGCACTCTCAGACTGTGCCTGGGGCTCTGTTGTTCTTCCAATGGCATGTTCATCTTGGTCCTTGAGCTGGTTGTACTGCTAGACCTTGTCAAGGTGCTAGAGGCTGTTGCTGGCCAGGGCACACAGTCCTTTTACACATCCATAGGGTTCTTCAGAGCTTGTAGGGTACACATGCTCTGAAATGCAATGTGAATTTTTGCAAGCATCTCTGCAAAATAGCTTTGCTTCTGTAGAAGCCTCATGTGTGTTCATCTAGTAGAGGTTTTCTTCCCAAGGAATAGTAGGTCCCCTCATTCCTGAGGAAGGCCTACTTTGTAAAGAAGTTTAAAACTGAAGGTCTCACTGAGGCCAAGCTTTCCTGTGCCCAGAGGTCACCCTTCTGCATCAAGAGATGGTTCCTTGACAAGGCTGAACAAGAAACTTGCTAGTCAGAAAGATGAGACCCCCTTCCTATTTTTAAAGACTGTCACCAGCTCGAAAGTTTCAGCTGGAAGGTGCAGTGTTTTTCAAAGAACTCAGTGCATGGTAGCGTGCAGACTGGTGTGTCCCAGACACGGCCCCACTCTGCCTGTTCTTAAACTTTCCTTGTATTTATATTCTTGCTCTGCATGCCTGCTTAGATGCAGTGGATTGTGTAAGGCAATGCAGAGGACTATAAAAATTAGGCAAAGTAATGCACTTGAAAAGTTGTTCAGATAGAAGCATGCATAGGTTTTTACAGAATCTCATCTGACATGAATCCTTGTGAATAATGACCACAAAGTAGAAAAACTGCAAAATACTCAAATATGCCCCAGAGTTTATGGGCAAGTGCAGATTGTAGCTATGATTTTCAGGCACTCAGGTCAAAAAAAAAAAGAAAAAAAAATCCCAAACCTTGGCTTATTTTTTATTTCTTTCTCCTGTTTTACCACCTTCTTGTTTATTCTTAATTTCTTACAAAGTCTCTCCAGTTCATAAGCTAATTAGTGGCTTGTCTACAGTCCTAGACAGTGGAAATCAGAGCTTGTTAAATCACCATATTAAAGGGCTAAGAAAAAGAGACTTTCTTGCAATACATTAATCTGTTTTATGTAAAACCTTTTTTAACTGAAGACTCTGAAACTATTGGTTTCCTGGTATCTCTTCCTCTATAACTAGCCAAAGCTGAACTCATGATCTTTTGTCCAACTCACTGTTACTTTTTTTACTGCCTCCCACACAGAGAAGTCTGAAACTGTCTAGTTTTTAAATCCTCGTTTCCTTTTCTTTCTTGCCTAAGTCTGACAAATCCTCTTCTACCACTGCTATCTCACTTCATTATGATTCTAAGATCTGTCCTTGCTGCTTTATGATAAAACTGGTGTCCAGGCAGCAGACTTAGACATAGCCCTTTTGCCTTGCCTTTTGGCCCCAGCAATAAATCCAGCTTACTGATGTCTGGGAGCAACAATTCCTGCTAGCTGAAGCTCTGACCTGGACACCCAGCACTAATCCCAGCCTTAGCCAAGACCTTTTGCCTGTCCTGGATTTAGTGCTGTCCCCAAGGGTGACCTTTCTGTGCTCGTCAGTGGGACTTGGCTTATTGGCTTCTGCTGGCCTGGAGCTCCGTTCTCAGAGCTGAGCCTTACCTGGCCAAGCCTGCCGGCCCTGGTCTAACACTCTTTTTCTGAAACTAGCAATTGACCTCACTCATGGCATCTCCTGGGGATGAATTCTGACCCAGAATCTGTCCAGAGACTCCTTCCTGATCTTCAAGTGATTGGTGGAGCCCTTCCAGACATTTTCCATTTTGAGATTAATTTTGAGGAAAATTTGGAACGCCCCAAGAAGGACTTATACATCCAACAGCTGTTTCCCCCATCCCCATCTGTGCTAGCTATGTTAATAGAATCTATTTCTTCTCATTTTCATTGCTTTCTTTTTTTAATGGGCCAATAATATTGTGTGAAAACACAGTGAGAAGTTATTGGTATAGAATGGTGTATCTATAGACAATTGTTAAATTTAATAATAGATACACTGATAATATGCTATTCTCTTGAGGGTTTTGTGTTCTTTGAATGCAAATGTGTTTTTAAAAACAAGATTTTTTTGCATGTCTGTAACTTCTCTGCAGCCAGTCACAGCCAAGCCACAGAGCTTCTGTGAAACATATTTATTAGAAAAACAGGAATTACTCTATGTCGTTTAGGATGGGGTTGATGTAGTCAACAGAAGTACAGAAATAGAGGAATGGTAAGTGGTTAGGGCACATGCATTATGTTTGTCAGTAGGCTGAGGGGTAGATGAAGAGAATCTCCATTTTATGCCTGACTCAAAAGTAGTCTGTTTTAAATGGAGATTTTTGTGAAACACAGTCACAGTCTTACCCTTTCAGTGAGTACCTCTTCTGAGCCAAAAATTATTTTCTTCAGGGTGCTGCATTCCCCCTGTCTGCCACCTACATCTCACCTGCTTGGTTGCATGTTTTATGAAAACTGGCGAGATCCCTGCCCAAAACTGGCGCTGTTTGGGAAGGCTTTTCTCCTGAGAGTTGAGGGAGCTGTGGCAGAACAGGATGTAGGGAACCAGCGGAAAAGCTCAGGAGAGAAATGGCCCTAACCAAGAGATGGAGCAACTTGCCGGAGCAGGATGATAGCCTCTTTCCCTTTTTTGCCTGTGCCTTTTCAGTTTTTTCTGGTTTTGCTTGTACTCCATGGTAAACCAAACAGTATGAGACAGCATGGATTGCAAAACAACATCTGTGGGTTCTTTGTGAAATGGAGGAAGTGGGAGAGGAGAGACTTTCATCTCTTGCATTACATCTTGCTGCAACAAATTTGTAAAAAACAGGTTTACAACCCCACTCCTCTCCTCCCAATGATGTCAAAACCAGACATTCTGTCTTTCACCCAAACACAGGATAGGGGAATTTAGGTTTCCAAAGGTGAATTTTCAACAGAAAACATTCAGAACCCTATTGTGTGAAGGATTAAATGCAATAGCAAGTACTAGGCCATAATCTTATTCAGTTCAAGGTTTCTTTTAAGAGACACCAAAGGAACCTGGACAAATAAAAATTTCTCAATACATTACCTTTTAAAAGTATGTAAATATGAAAAGTTACTTGATTTGCTGTGGCTCTCTTCTTCCTACTAATGAAGCTGAGAACTAATTTGTTTTTGCTTCCATTCAGTAGAAAGCAAAATGTTTGTTTTGGGAGGCAAAGAAAGTGTGTGCAAGACAGTAAGAGAAAACAATGCAACTAGATCCATGAAATGGCTGAAGGTAGATGGTACAGGTGTTTTGCTGTCACTGTCTAAATTTTGGGTGACAGGCTTTGCATGGAAATAGAATTTCTGTACATCTGTTGGAGCTCTCTGATACAGACTCAGAAATTACCCGAAGTCAGAGCACTGTGTACCTGTGTGTCCTGCAGCCAGCAGAGAAGACGAACATCCATATGTGCTTTCAGCAAAATTTTCCAGAGAACATATGTATGAGGTCCTTTTGCAGCTTTTTGTTTCAAGTGGGACAACTATTTTTATCTGCTGGAGGTACCTTGTAATGCCTTTTGCCATCTCACAGTCAGGATTTCCATTGACTTCAGAGACATCCCTTCCATGTATTTATTTTCAGTGCTGGTACCAGAGAGCTCCCAGGGAAGGAGGAGGCATAAAGTAGCTCCTGCAGGCATGACAGCCCTTTTCTGGGGAGGCTCTGCAGGGTGTCAGTGTTCAGCTGCACCTCATGCAATTGAGCAGCAAATGACCAGCAGTGAATGTGTCCCAGCTGGGATTTTGTTGCAAATTCCTTGAATAAAGATTGGGAAGTGAGAGAGAGGATCAACATTTATCATTCTCTGCCATGTGATGATGACTGTAACTCAGTGTCTACACCCTAAATCTTGACTCTTGTAATAATCTGATACCAGACAAAGAGTAATGGTATGATACAGTAAATATTAACTGCAGTTTATAGATAGAGGAGAGTAAATAAGGCATGGAAAGTGACTTGCCATTAATTTAATTACAGTCCTTCTGCTGTTTACATGGAAGTTACTGCATGGCTTGCACATGTCAAAGACATGGAGTGGCCTAGTGCTACAAAAGACACGTGCTTCTCAGCAAGCAGCAGTTAGGTTTGTATTTTGAACCTCCCTATAAAAAGGCAAGGAACACATTCTGTGTAGTGTATTTCTATTATTGCAATGCTTTCATTGCAACTGCTTAGCAGAGGACAAATGCAGACCTGCCTAAAGAAGATCAGGCCCAAATGCCCATGGGCTGGGTGTGGAGTGCTTTGGCTTCCATACCCTTGTGAAGAATTGGATGCTGTATACCTAGATATATGTCACTGCAACAAGAAGGGGACTGTATAAAGAGTTTTATTTCTCTCTGTTGCGTTTCAGAAGTCCACTTGGACCCCCAGAGAACATGGTGCCCCACAGCCGACTGCCAAACAGTGTGCCACATCACACCAAGCGAGTCGGGAGCACCAGTGCCAGTGGAGTGCCCTGCCTGCCACCTGATCTTCTGCTCCTTCTGCAAGGAGCCATGGCACGGGCAGCACCAGTGCCAGGAAAAGCAAACAACCCCGGTACCGACCGAGCAGGGGTAAGATGGGCATCCACGATGGTCTTTTGGTTCTTTTCATCACAGGGCCTCACATCAGGTTCATGGAACAACTTCCTTCTAGGTCCACAGCTTCAGCTTGAAGACTGTCCATATCTCCTGGTGTTTCCTAAATACAATTCCAGTCTAAATATTACTTTAAATGCTAAATTTTGGTTTTTAATACTTAATATTATCTGTGTACTTGTCAAGCTTGGGTTGCAACTGACACTTGTAAAGGTGAAGCCCTCCAGGACTTTAAATCTGCTTAAAGGCTTTGTTCACATGCTAGAATTATGACCTGTGCCCATACCAAAAATACAATATACCAATATTGCAGGATCCAAAGTTTGTTTATACTGTGGTTAAGAAATCACCCCTGCTTAATATGTACAGAATCTGTGCATAGAAAAACCTTAACTCCTACACAGTGTAAATTGCACTTGGAGTGAGAAGCCTTATTTTACTCATTTTCCTTAACTGCAGACAACCTACAGATCAGGTTGTAAAAATCATTAATCTATAGAAGAGAGGCTTTTGTGTTTAAATTATGTCATGTCTTTGGCTATCCATCTTTGTTTTCAGAATTAGGTTATGTTGAATCATGTTTTCAAAGTTTTCTGTCATTTTTTTTTCAACAAATGAAAGACTTAAAACCTAGAGGATTCTGCTTGCTAGAGACTCCATGGAATAGGAGTTGCCAAAAAGCTCTTGCTATGATTTTTCTTCTCTAGGTGTGATCTCTGGCTGTGGTGAAGTTTAAGCCTATTTTATTCAGACAAGGAGGATTCAGACAAGGATTATGAGTTGCATAATCCAGTCCTGTTAAATGAATTGTGCAAGGTCTCTGTAACAAAGTCCTAAGTTTTAATGCTATAGGTAATTAATTGTGGGTGTAGTAAGTGCTGGTTTTATATAGCATAAAGGAACAAAGCAAGGGATTTTCACTTTTATGTGATACTAATAGTCTTACACCTAGTAGAGAGTATGCTGCAGTGTATTGTACTGAATACAAGAAGCTTCACACAGTGTGTGTGTTAGGACAACAACATTAGATGCTCTGAAAAATAAGCACAATACACATCAGGCAATGGACCTGAATACCAACAATTATGTTCACATCTCACTCTAATGTTCCCTTACTTTTCTAGATTCCTTATTGGAGCAGAGACTGAGGCATCAATTAAGCAATGCCCAGTTTGTCGAATTTATATTGAGCGAAATGAGGGCTGTGCTCAGATGATGTGCAAGAACTGCAAGCACACATTTTGCTGGTATTGTCTACAGAACTTGGATGTAAGTGCCACAAAAAACCACCAGGATAAAGAATAATGGGGTTAAGGGTTAGTCTGAGGCCCTGTGCAAGCTCTTTGTTAGTTCATTGCTGTCCAAGCGAATTTCTTGGCTCAATTCAGCTTCTGACTCAGTTGCTTTCTCTTCTTTCACCCAGTCCTTTTATTTATATCAGTATAGTTCTTTTTATTTCGTCCATAAACAGTTATGGCCATGTCTGTGGGTCCCGTGTTAGTTCTTTGAGGGAAATGGGACTAATGTGGTGCTTTCTGGAGGTTTCTTCCAGCAATACCTTGCTCCAATTCCCTCTTCCTAAAAACAGTTTGGTTGAGTGTGAGGGAAATAGATGTCTTCCACCTGTTTCAACAGCAGAGGACATAGCCTGTCTAAAAAATGGTATGGTACTGGGTGAAGGGGGTTGTTCCATGGTATGGTGGCTAGGGAGGACTAGGTCTCCTCTACTAGTCCATCTCTAGTGCCGTGTTTGCTGAAGAGAATGATTGGCTATTAGGCTTGAGGATAAAAATGTTGGATCATGAAAGCAGATTGTGAAGTGTGTGTTGCTAGGTTGCTAGTTACTTCTCAAAGGTGGCAAACCAGTCTCAACTTGTGTGGACTTCAAGTATTCTAGCAGCATGAAGAGTCCTGGAGGTAATGCGCTTGTATGTATGGCAGCTTGCCCTTTTGGCACAGTCATCAGTAACAGCTGTGGGAGCATGAAAAGGACTTTACCAGCACTTGAAATAAAATGTTATGTGCTGCATGGCTTTTCTTGTCTTTTCTGTACTCCACAGCCAGCAAACAATGAGACTTCCTCAGTCTTCATCCTTTACTCAGCATGCTAAACAGGTTTCCCTTAGTGTTATGTCCCCTTTCTGTGTGGGTGAACGTGCTTTTTCAACGTGAGTCTTAGGGCTTGCCTCACAGAGTACAAGCAGTACACAGTGATTGCTTAACACTGTGCTGAACCAGAAGAGTGTCGCATTCTTGCAGACTCACAGACATGCCCTTATTGAGTTTTTGCCAGTTCAAAGGGAGAGAGAAAGAAACTGTAGCTGTGTGATTCAAATGTAGTTCTTCTGAATGTGTAGGGGTTACAGGAGCTCCAGGCGCAGATGAAGGTAGTACCTGCAAAGCCAGAGAGCAGAGCTAAAAAATGAAAGGGGAAGCAGCATCAGGTTACAGTACAGTGGTTTAGGGAGGGTAATGCAGGGCATGAGTCACCTTCTGAAGAAAACAATGGGTAGTTTAATACGTATTAATGGTAAAAGAGAAATTAAACAGGATTTTTGTACTTTTTATATTTTCCTGTTAAGTCTAAGAAGAGAATTACGGTGAAGTAGGTACAGCAGGAGAACAGAAGGTAAAACACTTGAGGAAGATGATCCCTCACATTGCTAGTTTTCAGAAATGCCTGTTGTTTTCAGTTCCCTTTATCATCACCAAATTATAGACCAGGTACTTGTGCAATTAGGTGAAACTCATGTGCTTATGCTTTTTAAAAGTGGGGGAGGAAAGATGCTGTATGATAGCTCAGGTGCCAAACATATGCCAATTTCTGAAACTGCAAGAAGTTACTCTAGGTAATTATTTGGAAGACAGGTGAACTTGTCTGCTGGCAGCTGTCAGTTTCAAAGCAGTGCCAGGAAGGTTGTGTTTCCACTTTAGTCTTGAACTTCTTCCTGCAGTTCCGTAACCTGCCCTTACAGCTTCTCCTTTTGTTTTTCAGAATGATATTTTCTTACGGCATTACGACAGAGGCCCTTGCAGAAACAAGCTGGGCCACTCACGGGCTTCAGTGATGTGGAACAGAACACAGGTGTGTTCCTAGCCAGCTGAGCAGAGCTCTCATGCATGCATGAACCAAAGAGATTTTAGCCTTCAGAGAAGAACCAAAATGATAATTTTCATATTTTCAGCTTTTTTTGGGTGACCTATGCTATGTTTATGCATGGACATGCATATTTCATTTTCCACACTATCTAAATATGTATTTTTCACCACCCTGTCTTTCAGGTTGTGGGGATCCTCGTTGGACTAGGTATCATAGCGTTGGTGACCTCCCCCTTGCTGCTTGTGGCATCTCCGTGCATCATCTGTTGCATTTGCAAATCTTGCCGGAGCAAAAAGAAAAAACCCAACCTGACGACAATCTAAAACTCTGTGTCTGTTTGAGTCTCCATCTGTACAGCATATGTATGTGAGAAAGCACAATGGTTGTGTTTTGGTGCCATACCTACCAAATAATGCTCCCTTTTTTTTGCCAGTTCTTGGGATAAGTGCCTATTCTTCACAGGCTACTCTGTCACTAACAAGTCCAAATTATTGTGCAGTACATACAGTGTAGGTTTTTGCTTCCTGAACAGGAAAACAGGACACCATTCAGTCCATATGATCTACCATTCAAGACTGATAGAACATTCCCATGTTCCAGCAGCTGCACATGACTTGATCCTGCTGCATCACTCTGTCTTTGCAGCTTCAGTCATTACTGTCGTGCTTGCTGTTGGTTCTTGGTGACACTCAGATTTCTCAGAAAGTTTTGGGTCTTTTGTGAAAGAGGGAGAGGGAAAAGCCTGATTGGGTTCTTCTGTCTGATAGCTTGTGTCCAGTTAAACGTAACAAACCATTGCGAAAATTTGTTGGGTAGTTTCCTGTCAATTGGCTGCCATGGCATTTCTTTCAACATTGAAATCCATTTGATTTTTATCATTTATCTCAACTACAGGAGTAAAAAACCCAACAAAACTGTATTTAAGATAGGGTTCTCTTTTGTGAGTCTGGACTACCTTGAGAAAGCTGCTATTTTTTTTTCACATCAAACATGACATATCTACCATGAAATATTAGGAATATGCATATTTCCCAATCATTGGGCATGCCTTTTGTCAATACCATGGGTGTAGCAAACTTCACAGTGAAGGTAATATTGTAAGAAAGACTGTGATACAGTTCCCATTTTGTGCAGAGCGTTGGGATCTTGGTTGGGTGTGTGCAAAGTGGCAGCATGGGCGCAGATATACCAAGTACCTATGGGCAATCAGTGTATTTTTTTCAACAGTTTACATGGGGTGGCAGCAAGAACCCTGTTAAAAAGTTATTGAAACCAGACTAAGCCAAGCCCTCCTTCAAAACCTTGTGGACCTGCTGAAGGGAATACTTGAGAAATGCTGTGTAAATGTGACCTCAGTCCATTGGTGGGTATTTCTTTTGGCCTGCTCAAGGTTAACAAACTCTGTTACTGATATTTTTTAGTTACTCTAAATCTGGAAGGCTGTCAGTTAATAAGTGCTTCATTTTAATTTGGTGCCTCACCACCAAACCAATTCAATCCCTGATATCAGTTACACCTGTATAAATTCACTGAAAGCTCACTGAAGAGCTGGAATTACTGCAGCTCTTCAGTCAGGAGTAGCTGAGATCAGACTCTACTCCCTGGAGTTTATTTCCTTAATGGATGGTGCTCCTCATAAGCGGGGCCGGTGCTGCTTTTGTTCTGGACTCCCGTCTGTGCATTCTATATCTGTGGGAAGAGATTCAAGTTTGCACTGTATAATTGGTTGTAATTCCAAACCCCTTTCCATAAGGGCTGCAAGGTTTGAAGGAGATGCTCAGCCCGAGTGTGGTGTCGGCTGCTCCTCTCCGAGCACACAGCGCGGGGCACTGGGGAGTGCTGCGAGGCTGCTGTGAGTGCTGCCTGTGCGGGGTGTTTGGCCGAGCCTCAGGAACTTTGCCTCCTTGGCAGCTGTAAATGTGACCTTTTTTCTGTTTAACTTCGCTCTCTGGTTACTGTAACAAAAGTGGCAGGATTTCTTCTTTTGAGAAATGTAGTCTGTTGAGCAGACTAGCAAGGACAGAGGCCTTAAATGATACTGTTTTACTTTTTAATTGATTTCTTTTATAAATACTGTCTGACTTTGCTACCAGTGATGGCTGGAGGGCAGGCAGTGCTCGCCAGTGTGAAAGGCTGTATTTATTCTTTATCCTCAGCTTTGAAGGGAAGCAGAACGGTAGACAGTACATTCTAAATACAGAGTGCAATGCAGGCAACTGCCATTTATAATAAATAAAGAATGTTTTCTGTATGTGTTTTCTTGAAGAGCACTAATGGTAGTGCTTTGGGGTACTTGTGACAGATTAAAGTGTCCAGCCCTTGGCTTTGCACTATTTTTCTACCTACGTTTTTATGGCACTACTGTCATTTCCATTTTATTTATGAACTTGAAGTTGCAAGTCTTACTTTAACAAAGCCTCAAGGACAAAGATGTAGGAGCTGTACAGTCTCTTTAACCATAACCAGCATTGCAATGTACCAATATCCTTTGCATGTTAAAATTTGAGCGTTTTTCATGTTTTGTGATCTTACCCATGACTAATGCATCTTATGCTAGTCCTGTTTCTTTCCTTGTCCTCTTCCTCCTTCTGTTTGCCTGTTTTTGCTACAATGCCTGTTGTAACGAGGGTGGCAGATCTTTTTTTCATTAATACTGTTGTGTTAATGAAACTGTCAGGTTCTCCCTCTGCTAAAGAAATGCAGCTGAAGGCAGCTCTCTTGCACCAGTTTAAGTGCCTGGTGGGCGTACCAAAACTGATATAAATTAATCATGCAGAAGTTAACACAGCCTGGCAGTCTCAGCACCAATCCAGACATCTAAGAAATCTAGATGTGGATTGGTAGCCCAGGCTTTTGCTGGAAGTCTTTACACAAAAACTGGATAAGGAGAACATGAGCTACAGGCACCCTTCCTTTGGTTGTGTAGGTGCAGCAAATGGACCAAGAAAGAAGCTCTAGACATCTTAAGAGCTTAAAATTAAAGCTTTACAACAATGATTTTTTTTTAAAAGGCTGTGTTCAGTGTTCCATGTGTCCTGGCTTTTCATTGCATGGGAATACTTGAGCATGTGCATTAAGTAGACCCCGGCCTGGCTGAGTCAAGCCTTACCTGCACTGAAGTGCTAGGAGCAGGAAAGCCCTGTTGCTTTGTTTTCCAGAAGGCAGCTATTTTGCACCAACTGGCTATGCTCACAGAGCTTCCAGAGAAACATTTTTGCAGGAATCTTTTTACAGTGTTGGCTTTTGCTTTTGTGTTGCTTTGGTTTGTTTTTTAATTTTGTAAGAAACATTAAAGTCACTTTATAAAAGATTTATTGAAAGCATGACAAATAATACTAGTAATAATTATGGAGAATGAAAAAAGACAGGACTTGGACTACATCTGACTCTTCTTAATCAAGATATCTGTAAATCCAGTCTCCTGAGCTCCCTCTGTGTGATGCAGTTGGTGCACATCACCAGCTACCAGGCTTCACTGCTCTTCCCATGTCTCTTCTTGGCGCTGTGGCAGGTGGCAAGAAGGGCACCCCTTGTGGTGTGGGGGCAGCAGCCAGGGGAGAGCTCAGGGCTGTAGCAGTGCAGGTACCACACAGGAGCAGTTGCCCACCCTGGACTCATCACCAGTTTGTTCTTGGGCCTTTAACCACTGAGAGACACCTTGGGGGTTTGGGGCCTTTAATGTTACATTGAGAGCTTTCACAGATGTCTCTCTTGGAGAGCAAAAGTGGGAAGTACTCAATTCCTTCTGAACCAGGAGCATTCAGACCTAATGAAAACTGGGCTCTAGGTGTTAAAAGGTCAGTTCCTAAACTTAAGAGACCACTGCTAGAAATCTGGATCTGTACTGCATCTGGCCACAAATCTCCATGGACACATATCACATCATTTCCCATCAGTCACTGGATCTGTGTCAAATACAGCTGAAGATCCTGTTCAGCATTCCGTGTTCTTGTATTAAAATGAACATGATTATACCTGCTCCCAAACCCATCTCTTAATAAAAAGAAGATTTTTGTCATGCTACAGCATAAGTGCATCTCTGCAGTGTTCATTCCAGAGCTATACTGGGTGCCCAGTGCTGCCCTTCAGTAAGTGATGGTTTATTTTTGGTGCATGGGGTTACTTATCCCAAAGAAGGGCCCAAGGGGCAACAATAATGAATGTTTCTCAGTGCTTTAATGATGCTAAAAGCTTCATCTTGTTGTCTGTCCAATAACACAGCATGAAGTCCAAAGATATGTTTAAAATGTACACAAAGTTTACTTGAATGAACTAAGAGAAACTGGATATTGCCTCCATGTTTGCATGAAGAAGTAAATACAAGTGGACAGGTACAACTGCATTTCCACAACGGGACAAAAAAATCAACTTTTGGCCACTCCATTTTTTGGTACCACAATGGGTGGTTGTGCTGTAGTGCCTGCTGCTTTAAAATTTTGAAATTTTTTTTGCACTGTAATCTCCTTCTCCCAGTCATTCTTTCTCAAAGTAATTCCTTTTATGAGCTTATTTTTCATCCTGTATTTCAGGCCAAAGAGTCTCAGAGCAAAGCTAGTAGATTTCTTTGTATGAGGATAAAAGTCTTCCAGCCATTTTCTCCCAGGTTTTAAAAAGAAATTTGATGCTGAGTTACCTGTCCAAAGTTAGAAATTCCAGACTTGGCTTGTTTAGAAAAACTTATTGAGACTTAAGTTCTCTTATAACACCTAAATAAGAGCTGCTTTGTTAGAGCTTATAGGTAAGGGAGCCATACAGCTTTTCAGCTTCACAGAAGAGATGCTTCTGTTGTTAAGCAGAGACTTCTTTGGAAATGTGCTGGGGAAGGATAAAAAACAAACCTACATTCTGTATACATATTTTTATTATATAAATCAAAAATATTTTTCTTGTATAGATTCATAATTTAAGGATTCAAACTCTCTGGGGGCTTTCTAGGGTATACTTTCCCAGGAAAATAATCTTACATATATGCTGAGGCAGTTGAACAGTGTGCTAGTTATAAAACAGTTGTCAGACATCTCTCACACATGAGTGTGTAGGATGAGATCAGAATTTACATGGCTCAAAATAAAGATGTGAAAATTTACCTTTCCTGGAACAGTAAGAGTTGGTTCTTCTGCAGTCTTCTGGAAGGTTAACTTACTGCTAAGACTTTGGAGAACTTCAGTCTCATTTTAATTTGTCCTCTAGTTAGCAAAGTAATGAAGTGAGAGCTGAATGGTGTTGCTGAACAGGAAGCCCAAACGTCTGTCTTGTGTCATGACACTCAAGTTTCTCATAACCAATGTGGTTTTATAATTTATTATTATAATTTATGCAATGCAAATATAATTTATAATTAATAATTATGAAATATTAAGGATGAAGTATCATTACCTTTATCATGTGATATTTATTTTAATTGCATTCATACTGGAAGGCTTTTTTCTTCTGCTTCCCGTAGAGAAGATCATGGTGCACCTGCAAAGTAAATTTGGTGATACGGTGCAGTCCACAGTAAATGTTTCCTACTATTTTGTAGTTATGTCAGAGGTTTTTGAATGATCCCTCAAGTTAGTTCTTTGAATCCAGCAAATCTCTACTGTTAGGAAAGGTAATTTCCTAGCAATGAATTTTATTGACCGTCACAATCTGAGCTATAAAGATGATACTGATTGACAAGGTCCACAGCTCTTTCGAGGACACAACCTCATTCTTCTCCCTTCTTCCAAAGAAACTTTATCTTTTCCTGGATGAAAATTAAGGATGTCAGTAATTGGCTTATGCCTTCTGGCTGTCCAGACAGAAGCTGCAGCTTCTGGTGGCCGTGTGCCGGGAGATCCCAGGCAGGTTGAATGTGCGATGCTGCAGCACGTGTGCAGTGAGTTGCTTGAGTTTCAAGAGGGTGCCTGAGCTTTACAGCTTCCTGGGGCCCGTGCAGGATGTGGTGGATGTGGTGCACAAGGGACACGGACAGGTGAGGCTTCGAGTGTCACCAGCTCTATGGCATGTGTTGTGCTGGGCTGTCTCACCACATTCAAGTGTCTCCCGGATTTTCATCAGGGGCCCTGTCTCAAGCTTGCCCTTTCCATAGCTACCTGCCCACCTCCAAAACGCCCCAGAACCCAGAGCAAATCTGTTAATTTTCCAAGTCTCTCGCTGCTAGCCTGGTCCACTTTCACAAAAGCTTCAGTTCACATGAGCTATTTGGAGCTCAGCTGGTCTGGTAATTTACTTTTCCCTAATGAGCAAGGCTTGGGAGTGAAGAGAAGCAGAGCTGTTCCATACGCTGGTATTGGCATCACAGGCACCTAAGGTCTCTGTGTGAGAGCTCTTTTGACTGCCCCAGCATTGCTTATTTCTGAAAAAAGCCTGTGTTTTAAATGTGTGTATGGGGAAGTGTCCAGGTCTGACACTGGGTGTGTGTGTGGTGTGAACCAGCAGCAGCCACAGACCCCTGTCCTGCCCCTCTCAGATTTTACATTCTGTTTATCTGGTTTTTTGGGCTTTTTCTTTTCCTCCGGGTAACACATTTTCTTCACCACTTTTCTTCTGGTGAAGGGCAAAAGGGTTTGATCTTTGTAAGATTTGTTAAAATATTTTTGTGTTTATAAAAAGGAAGCTGAGATGTATAAAGAAATAAGTGCTTTTGTAATTTTTTTTGTGGTATGATTCAGCATTTAAATGTTTTACAGATGCAGTTTTTTGCACTCTCTACATATATTCATAAAAATTATATTTATTTTCTGTCTTTAAGGTTTACTTTGGGTTTTTTTTTCTTCTGATGTTATAAAATGCAATATGTGCAGCATTAAAAAATCAGTGTAAAGACATTGTCTCATTTTGTTGTAATCTTCAACTGCCTTTAAAAAGATAACATAGAAAATTTATGGAAAGAATTTGAATACATCAGATGTTCTTAATGGAAATTTTGAAGATAAAAGAAGGTAAAAAAGCTGGGATCAAGAGTCTTGACTGTTATTTACTTTCTCAAGAATAATTGACATGAAAATCCTTTTAAAGAGTGTGGGGCAGACTCTGGATTAGCCCTGGGAGCTGCTGCAGTGGTGTGCAGACAGCGGTGGCCTTTGCTCTCCATAGGTGGGATGCAGGATTACTAAAGATCTGCTCCCCTGCAAAGTCTGGTGGAGACTCTGGCTTGGGAGCTACCAGGAGCTGGAGCTACCCCGGGAAGTGGATGTGGGATGTGTGGCAGGCTGCACAAAGCAAAGTCTGCTGCTTCAGAGCCCCCTTTCTCTTCACTGCTCCCTCAGCCCTGCCTCTCCTTGCAGCAGAACGGGGCCTCCTGCTCCAAGTTTCCAAAGGACCTGATGGGAGGCTACATCCTGCTACATCAGATATCCATGCTCCTTATAAGTTTCCTCACAATCCCACATCCTGCAGTGCTTACAAGAGACAATCCGGGAGGCTACATCCTGCTGTTCACTTTCAGACATCCATGCTCCTTATAAGTTTCCTCACACTCCCACATCCTGCAGTGCTTACAAGAGACAATCACAGCTGTGGTTCCGAGTATCACACACGATGCGATGTTTACTGTTAAATATTTCTAGCTTAGCTACAATTACTCAGCATCCGAAGGTAGGATTTTCCAACTGGCTGACACATCCTTGAAACCCTGTGTGTCATCTGTGGGGCTTTTCACCTGAATACATTATCTGAAAGGTCGGGATAGTTTTGTCGCAGAGAACGTGTTTTCAGGAAGAAGGTTGAGGAGAATACTACCATTGTCACTTAACAGCTCAAATTTTGATCATGAATGTACATTTTTTCCCCCACTACTTTGCTTAGAGTAAATTCAGCACTAGTTAAACACACTTAAGTAATTAAAAAAATTTTTTTTAAATGTGTGTGTGTTCAAGGCTCTGCTCTTGTGCAACAAAGCAGGAGTAATTTACCAGTCCACGCATTAACAAAGGTGATGACTTGCAGCAGACTGAAGGTTTACAGCATGGCACTTTTCCTTCAGAGGATCTTGCTGATTGCTGAGGAACCAGCTTTCTGATGGGAATGTGTCCATTCTGTCAGACTTGTGATGGGCACCAGCTGCTGGCAGCCGGTGAGCCTGGTACCCTGCCAGCCTACCATCTGCCAGTGGTGGGCAAACTGCCCGGCTTCCCACCTGGTAGATGAGTGAACTGCCAGCTCCTCACCTGGAAACTTTGAAGAAAACACCAACAAATCTTTTCCAAGAAAAAGATAAACATTTCTGAATTTCCAATATTTAAAATTCCAAATCAGACTTATCTAAGCAACCCAAACATCATCTGGACAGGAAAATAAACTCAGTGGATTCAAATTTGATTTGATCACAGCTTCAAGGTGCAATTTCCCCTCCCAGCTCCTGCACTTGTCATGAAGATTAGTTTTCTTCAAAAG